TATTGCTGTTATTGTTTCCATCCTTACATTAATTATGTCAATATAATTAATTTGATCCTTCTCTCTCTTCCATAAACGGTACGTTATCATAATCTCTCTTTGTTGCTCTTCCTCCTCTTTATTGCTTATGTTATCTACAATCTCTCTCAAGATTTCATTTTCTTATTATTCGTTCTTTTATATTCCAAATCTCTAGATACATATACCTTAGTTCTTTATACACATCATATATTATTGTATATTTTTAGTGGAATATATAAAAATACATGAGATGCACATAAAATACATATTATATAATGATATTATACACATTATATAATGATATTATACACATTATATACAACATATATTTTTAGTGTAATATATTAATATATATGTGATGCACATAAAATACACATTATATATAAATATTATACACAATATATATAGCACTATACTTTACACTTATGTACTACTAATATTTTTAGAGTTTTGTAGAGGTTTTGAAAGACATGTTTATTTTTTACTTATGGTTACTATTATAAAAGAGTCCCTTAAAGGAAGGAAATTATTGGAAATTTATTTTTACAAAAATCATGATTCTGGAGAGAGATTCAACAATTACTTAGGCGTGATATTTGGCCAAAGAGGGGAAAGTTTCATTTTTTGGGGAGAAAGAATTCCATATCTGGATAAGTTTATTACTCAATGTAAATTTTCTTTTGGCCAAATATTAGTTTTACTGCTACGAATATGTTATATTTTATTTATTATTGTTTATTTATGAAACTTCCCCAAAAATAGCACTAAACTCATTATATTTTAAATTACGGATTCATATATACTACTATATGTTATAATTTTAATAGATTTTTATATATAAATTTACATTCCGCATCAAAAAATTATAGGTTCAATTGAATCTAACCCTATAATCCTATATCCGCCCTTGGTTACACATGCGAGAGGGTGTTAGAGAAATACACTTGTCCTCATCAGTTGTGTAAGGGACCCAAAAAGATGGTAATTTTCTGGGCTACTCTACCCATTACCTTAAAGATTTTGGAATGAATACTCAAATTCTTTTCTTGACATTGCTTTTACTTCCAAAGGCAAATCCTACTTCTATATAATTTTGACAGGGAATGTTCCTTTTGATGAAGCGCTTGGATATCCATAAGAAAGCCCGAAGTTTTCGGATTTGAAAAATATTTTTGAATAACAATTAGTGTTTGGTCAAGATTTTAAGAAATAATTTTAAGTGTATTTTTTTCATAAATATTTTTCAAAAAAATACTTTTTAAAACTTTTGATAAAAAATGAAAATGCAATCCACCACATCTCCTAGTGTCTCCTTTGCCTTTATATTGATATATGCATATTCCTGTTGTGTGAATCCCTATGCTGACCACTACTATTATGTAATTGAGGTGAAAAAGGTGTAGCAAAATCCTCAAATTGTGACTTTTTAATGTGTGACTATAAGCTTTTACCTTAGAATCTATTCTAAAAGACCGAAGAGAATATTATACCAAATAAAAGTACTGTGTCTGGCAACATGTGGAGCATGGCTTACAGTCATTATTTGCAATTATTACTTGATGTAAATATCAAATTATTATCCCTAGTTTTTTATTTATTTATTCGGTTGATGTGTCGGCTTAGGCTTTCGGCTCTGCAACTTGTGACTCCAAATGGAGAATAACCGATATAGTTGGCTAGTTTCCTTGTTTATTTTTTCTACCTCGTGTATATAAATTATATATTAATTATATATAATTATACATATATTACACGTAGGCTATATATATATATTACATATTTGCAAATTAATTTTAGTTTAAATAATTAAGTGAACTGGGTTAATTTTTCGTCTAATTTTCACTTTAATTAGGGAAACGTCCAACAATGCAATTCTGCCCGTGACCTACTTCGTTAACTTTTGGGTAAAATTGATGTCTTTTAATATTGGCTATACTACAACAACATAAACTTTAATAGATTAGACCATTAGATTAAACAATCCCATTTTTTGATTTCTTTCTTCGAGAAAAGTAACTTACCAAAAAGAAGATAATATCTTCAGTGCTAAATGTTAATCATTATGGTAAGTTGATTTTGTTTTTTAATATTTAACGTTTCAAAATATTTTTCAAATTTATCTTTAATATTCCGATCATTGCAATGTGAATTAAATCAGAAGTTTAAGGATAGATAAAGAGTAGTTTATACTAATACTGTTATTTTAAAAACGTATTTTTTCAATTGAATGTGCCAAAATCTTTTTAAAAAAATAATATGAATAGAAGGTAGGTAGTGGTAAAATGAAAAAAAAGGTAATTCGACAAAAACGAAAAAAAAAGTTTACTTGCTTCTTTATTTGTACGAGCAAATGAATACATAATATGTATCTTGTATATAATAATTTATCACTTAAATAGTGATAAATAATATATTTTTTAATTTAATGTTAGCCCATTATAACTAATTAATTTAATGAATGCGAGTAAGTATTTTTCTGCCTCCAACCCTCAAAGGACCTAATTTCTGTTTGCTTGTTTGTTAGCTTGTAGCCTGTATGTCAAGTTTTTTTTGGTCAAAAGTGCTGCTCTTGAGCCAAAAGTTTTTTTTTTCCAGAGTTAAGGTATTAGGCCAGGTTTTTAAAGAGATAAAAATGTTTTTGCATAGAAGCAAAAGCTATTTTGAAAGGCTGAAAAGTAGCTTCTCTACAGAAGTACTTTTTAAAAAAATACTTTTGAGAAAATGCACTTATAGTCTGGTCATTTTTCATGTTCCGTTGATTTATCACCTTTTACCAGTAAAAATATCTAGAGAGTTTTGTTAAAGGTCTATACAAAATGTTATTGCTTTCTAACTTCTACTGGCAACCCTTACGTAAAGTCATATATTGATACGAATTCTTTCGTCGCTTATTTGGCGACAAACTATAAAATTCGTTGTTAATCCGTCATTATTTAGCTACGGAATATGATTTGTCACTAAAATTCATCGCTAAACGTTTTTTTGTAGTGAACATTTTAATTATCAAAAATTAATCGAACCATACCGATATTAAAGAAAAACCAAGATAATTGAGAGGATTTTGAAATTTTTATTTTAGTTATATACAATAAAGTAACTATAAACTATAATATAAATTTTAATAATAAGCCGAATCGAGCAATTGTTACCCTTAAACGAAAAATATTATTTTGTGTCCATACAACTGGTTGCTTCTGGTGTTTGCTAGATTAATCTCCCAAGAAATGACATGCAAAAGAGGTTGCGGATGGGCGCCACCACTATAAACGGGAATGACACATAAACCAAAGAAATGAGACACATTGATTACGACAGTTGACCAAAGGATCTCTCACATAAGCCATGATCTTGATTGCTCTATCAAAATCACTACAATATTAAGATGAATCGACACCTTTTGAATGATTAAGCACCGAATCCGATTACATTTGAACCGTTTCTTTCATTTTATTACAGTAATAACAAAGTTAAATCTTTTTGTATCATCTATTATGATTAAGATAATTCATTACCTAATCAAACAAAAAAGTCTTTAAATTACTCCTATTAAATTGCTCATTGTTAAGTAAATCTTAACGGTATAATCATTAAGCTAAGTAAGGGTCTGTTTGGAAAGCCACCAGGTAATTGAAATTGGTGTAATTACTAGGGTAGTAATTACACAACATAGTAATTACACAGTTGTGTAATTACGACAACCTGTTTGTTTGTCATAGTGTAATTACAGTGTAATTACAAGTTTATAGTTTGGTTGCATAAGTATAATTGCATAGTTAGATAAAAATTTAAATGAAATAATTATTAAAACTTAAAAATTAATATAATAAATATATGCCTATAAATTTTTGTAAGTATAAATGATATTATATTTGGTATTTAAGATGTATATTTTTCGTGAATATACATTAATTAGTAATCATATATTTATAACTAATATTGTAAAAATAATTTATAGATTTTCTAAATTAATAATATTTAATTTAGATACTTACAAAAACTAAAAACATACGTTTTGTAAAATATCATGGAATTCATGTTTGATAAAATAAATTAATATTTATAAATATAATGTCATAACATTATTCAAATGTTTGACAAAATTAATCTATCAATTCTAATTAAAAAATGAACAACATGCAATATGAGTCAATATTACTAAAAAAGTAAATTGGGAACCATGAATATAACACAATTTTAAAATCCAAAAAAAAAGTTTAACATATGTCAAATTCTAACATAATAATGTAAGTTCCACTACAACTTAAGATGAGGAAACATAATACGTTTATAACCACATTCAACAATGAAATTCCTCTTTAATTGCATTACTCATTATATACCAAGTTTGTTAATGACTCATTATTTCTAATATTAGGAGGTGTAGTTTCAAAAAATAGAATAATAAAATAAATAAATAATAAAATATAAGCAATTTCATGGAATCACAAGAAGTAAAGGTAGAGAAATAAAATATAAACAATGTACAAAGAAAATATATTTTAAAATTTCAAAAAAAAAAAAATTAAAAAAATAGAAATAAAAGTTATAAAGAAAAAAAAATAAAAATCTCTACAATATTAAGATGAATCAACACCTCTCCCTTTTGAATAATTAAGCACCGAATCCGATTACATTGAACCGTTTCTTTCATTTTATCACAGTCATAATAAAGTTAGATCTTTTTGTATCATCTATTATGATTAAGATAATTCATTACCTAATCAAACAAAAACATCTCTAAATTACTCCTATTAAATTGCTCATTATTACGGTAAATCTTAACGGTAGAATCATTAATCTAAGATTAAGGGGCTTATCTTTTTTGTAACGGGGGAAAAACCAATAAAAATTATTTGACATAATTCATACCTATAGTTTGTCTCTTTAGCCAGCAGAAGCTGGTCCTACCACTTTATAACTTATAGTATATAGCAAAATCCTACACGCATAATATAAGAATCTGCCACTATGAAGGAAAGGATACTTCATATTTCATACTTGTAATCTTTCGGATTGACTATTAATGCTAGCATTAGATACATTTCTTGTATTCCAAATTCAGAAAAAAGAAAAGAACCCCTTCACTCTCAAGAAACTTCCCACCGACGACATCCCTATTCCTATATATATAAAAAAAACCTTGTCATTCCTTTTCAACACATCTTTTGGACAATAAATTTAGGTCCAATATTTGTGTGCACGCGAGCTAGCCATCAACAGACGGACATCCTCCCTCGACGAATGCTCCTGTTGTGGCAATTCAACCCGGAGGATATAGTTAAAATTGCATATCTTGTTGAGCTCATCACGCATCTCTTCTATTCCATTCGGTACTTATTACTTTTTACTAACAAATGTATTGAGGAAAAGTGATGTTCATACTAATTTTCAAGCACGTCGAGAATACTATTGACCATGCATGTATATGATAATATGATGTCTTCCATCAGCACAAGTACTGAATAACGTTATTCAGTGTGGTTCAGGCATATATCCAATTATCTTAATTTGTATGCTAATTAGGTTCTTGAGATGGGAAATTGTGTATTCAAGGGGTTTGGTTTTAGAGAAGTTGATCAAGAAGAAGAAAAGAAGATGATAAAAGTGGTCACTTCCAATGGTGGAATCATGGAGTTATATGCACCCATAACAGCCAATTGTATCACCAATGAATTCCCAGGCCATGCCATATATCGTAGCCGTGATATGTTCTCTCCACCACTTTTTCACAACGAAGAACTTCAAGCTGGTGAAATATACTCTCTCCTCCCTCAATTAAAAAATCATACTAAATCCAAAAGACGAGAGGAAAAAAGTGATAATATTACTACTTGTAATGGTAGTAATAGTGGTATTTTATTACCTCAAGCAACACCTTATAGGATGTCATGTGATAATCAGAGGGTGTTAAAGAGATCATTAGAAGCTGAGATATTTCCTACATACAATAGTACTGGAGTGTGGAAGGTGAAATTACTGATAAGCCCTCAACAATTGTCTGAAATTTTGTCACATGAGGCACGTACAGAGGCACTAATAGAGAGTGTTAGGACAGTAGCCAAGTGTGGTTCTGGGGCTTCTTCAATGAATACGCCTGCTTCTCATTCAGATAATTGGAGCTTTTCTAGTCCCGGGCGGATTTAAAGTTTCTATCTATATTGGGTTCACGTGAATTCAGTAATTTAGATAGCCTGTCTTTAGCAATAGTTGGCAGGCAGCTAGCCCCATTTGAATCTTCCTCTAGGGTATTGTTATTTAATTTCTTTGCTAATAAATTTATATAACTTGTGCAAATTAAGTAGTGATGACACTATCTAGCAGTAGCACCGATGCCTTGTGTTGATAATAGTAGATGCAAACTTGTTTGATTTTTACATGTAATATCCAGTGCAGTGCAATCTCTACTAGTTTAGTATCAGTTGCGGAAAGGCTATAATTTGAGGTGCAATTATATATGAGTTGGTTTCAGAGGCAAAGTTTATGAGTTATGACTTGCCCAACTCATCTTAATTAATGGATTCGTAATTTAACATTGATACTTATTTAAGCTTTCTAATACATTTATACGGTCTAATCAAAAGCTATTAAATTCGTCTAAAGTCATATTTAATACTCTAGTTTCGCCCCTAGTTGATTCCTGTGAAGGCAGGATAAGGAGGTTGCAAGTAGTAGTTCCTTTACTACAAAGGGTTGTGGTGGGATGGATAAGATCACTCCACCCTTCACTAGACATTTTGGGTTTGAGCTTTGAGAATGAATTTTTTTGGGTTAAGGGTCCGAGCTCTGAGAATAGAAAAATATTTGTAGGGAGCATTTCCTTCTTTTATTGGGCTTTATGCGGCATATCCAAATTAATTAGTCGAGGCTCCAATACAAGTACTTACACTGAGTAGCTAGTTTTATTGTGTGCCTCACACAACTGACATTAGTTGTGTGAGACTTCTTTTTTGTCTCACAAATTTGTTGACCCCAATCTTACATTTTTGGATCCACAAAAATCTGGGTCCACAAAACTGTAAGACAAAAAAGGTGTCTCATACAACTAGTGTCAGTTGTATGAAACACAAAATAAAATTTTCCACTTACACTAAGTTAAAAAGCAAAAAAACAGTAGTTCCTTGATCTATTATTTTTATTTATGGAAGTACGTTAGTAATAGACTGTCGATAGAATTACCCTCTCAATTTAAATATATCATCCAACAGGAGGGATGGTATAAAATGTATCCCATGGGTGATTAACCCTTTCTCCATTTTTCGCTCTCTCTGTCCCTCCCTCCTGCATTTTCCACTTCACTGTTTTATATTAGTATCTCTCATTTTTACATTGGTTAATTCTTGCTCTATTTATGGCTATTTTTTCTTATGCAATTATTAATGACTTTTTTTTTTTTTTTTTTTTTTTTTTTTTTTTTTTTTTTGCATAATGTCTTTTTAAAGAGCAACATAGCATCATGCCATTATTAATTATTCTTTTATGATGTATAGTATACACAGTTGTCTTATTCGATTAGGCAAAGAAATCCTTAAACATACAATACTACTTCTACTTTGTCCCAAATGTCATATGCAAGTTGTATATATTACAATTTCTTGTTCTACTTTATCTTATCTGTAAAATTTAAAATCCATTTATGAGAATTAAACGTTGTTATAATTTTCTCTTTTTAAAATTACTTTGTGATATCATTGCACTCGTATATAGTTGTTGAATTTGGTTGTTTCATTTTCGTAGTGAAGTAGCATTTCAATTAAACTGGCAACTAAATTTTAATTATTCTTGAAAAAAATTCTCTAGAGGATTTTCTCGAAGTACTAAGTAGAAAATATTCGGGAAGAACTAGAAAAGAAAATAACAAAAATTTCTTTCTTGTATACGGTCAAAATCAGGGAAGGCCGATAAGAAGGTGACTTCTATGGCGTTTCAAGCCCGGCTTTGATGGGCTCGAAGCACAGTCTAAGGCTCGTCCCCGAAGCACTCGCCTCGAGAGGGTATATCGAAGACTCATCACAGCGCGCCTCGAGGTAGCATGAAAATCGACGATCGTCATGGAAAGGCGAGAAAGCTCCTAAGGACACGTGGTTAGAATTGACCAAGTCTGCAAGAATAGTACAAACCCGTACTGGTTCTTTATACAGCTGTACCTATAGCATTTCCTCGTCATTATTAGACATGTACTATGTTGGAATTCCCCCTCCTATATAAAGGGGACCCTTGACATTTTGTAACCCATGATGAATTTTGAATACAATAGAACATTCTCTGCTTCTCTTGCCTAAACGTGCTCAACAATTACTCTACACATTCATTGTTTATTTATCGTTCATTTATTGTTCTTCATTTATTGCTATTATCGAACCCGAGGTCCCTAATTTCATTGAGTTCGAGACCCCAATCCTTCATCAATATTGGTTTGCATATCTTTCTCTCCTTACTTACACTTAGCATCTATTGCCTAATAACTGGTATTGAAATAGACCACATATTTTTAGAACCATCAAATCAAATATAATTGTTAATAACATTTACAAGGTAAACAATTTGGCAACCACCGTTGGGCTAAAAATAATAGTGATTGGGTTAAGTATTCAAGTATTCAAGCCTTCTCTTCGATCAACCTCAAATACTGGGGGGCATCACTCCCGGAGGTCACCTATTCAAGGAAATCGAACTATGCCTAGGAGGACCTCGTTAGGAGAATTTTGTATTGGGCCAAACGGTCAAATGAACCATGTCCATATAGAATAATCGAGCCTCCAAAAGCAAAAAACATGTACGCATATATCAAGTAATTGAGGAAGCCTCTTTTCTTATCAAAACACTTTGTGCCTCGAAGAATTTTACTACTTTCTCATAAGACAGCTCAAGGGCCAAAAACTTCAGAACACTCGGGGACTGTCATCGACAGTCAGCTCATCGAGCCATTGAAAAACTCGAATTCGTAAGATCTCGATCAAGAAACTTCGAGCTTGTAAGCCCTCAGTGAGGCAACATCGAATCTGCAAGACCTCAACAAGGCATGCCCAAACTTATAAGACCTCAATGAGGCAATACCGAGCTTATAAGACCTCAACGAAGCGTACTCAAATTTATAAGACCTTAAAAAGGCATAACCCCTATATGAACGCCAAGGCTATATATTCAAACTTGTAAGACCCTTTAGAATGCATACCCTTGATATAGACGCCAAGGTCACTGCACCCGGGGACTAAAGACTACGGTCGAACTAAAAGGCTACGACCAAATTAACGTGGCTCGGAGATGTCCGACTGCCGCCATAAAACTAAAGGCCATCAAATACTTTGAAAGTACTTCAAAAAGAACCGGTTAATCAGGCTACCCTTGGCATAATTAAAGGAGCTTCGATAATATCAGCTCCGAACAATATAGAGGCTTCGAAAACAATCAGCCTTCGACAAAAAGGTTTCGAAAACTCAGCCTTCGAGCGAACCTCCCGAGGTACTCAGCTATCGTCATATATCGACTCATAATCAAGGTTCTCATTTGGGCCGTCAAAGAGTCGGACAAACATAAAACATGCTAAGGCATAATCAAAACTTCAAAAGTCTTTAGCCAAAATGAGGGAAAGCTATAGACATATTAGAGGTTGTATCGACCCAATCTAAAAGTGCCTAAGGGCCAATGCATAAGAGCCTAAGGGTATTTCTTAAGAGCCTAAGGGCCAATGCGTAAGAGCCTAAGGGCCAGCCTAAAGAGCCTAAGGGCCAATGCGTAAGAGCCTAAGGGCCAGCCTAAAGAGCCTAAAGGCCGATCTAATGAGCCTAAGGGCCAATGTGTTAAAAACTCGAGGATAGAACCCCAAACGATCAACTGTTATCGTTCATTCATCGAGCATGAAAACCTAAATGGTTTATATTATAAGTCCGACATATCGGACTTGTTGTCGGCAATCATCAAAGTTTATTCCCAAAAGGCAAAGGGAAAACAAGAAATGATGGAAACCAAAGATCCTTATATATATAATAAAGGTTCATAAAGACATATTTGCAAGGCTCACGCCTGGAGCTCTTACACAAAAAAGGGACAAATAAAAACCTAATTTACCGCTGGGGTCACTTGACCGGACGGAGCTTCCTCGGACGTTGTGCCTTCAACGGCTTGGCTCTCGATCCCTGGAATATCAATGTCCTCCTCCCCCTCGGGGACTTTACCTTCATGTTCATCATCCTCCGAGCCGCTGGCCGAACCACTAGCTGAACCATTATCGAAAGAAAGCAAAGTTGTTGATTCTTCCTCTAGGGTCTTCACCCTCTTGATCTCAGCAGACAAATCGATGCCCCCTGCATGTACATCCTCGAAATCTTGTCTCCGAGACCTTAATCAAGCACACTCTAGGGCTCGGGTCAGTTCAAGCTCAGCCTCTTTAGATACCTTCTTGGCTCGAGCATTTGCAGCAGCAATATCTTCTCGGTACGAGGATATGAGCGCATCAGCTTCGGACTTGGTTACAGATAGTGCGACGACCGATTTAGCATGGAGATCCTTATACTTACTACTGTCCGCCCTTGCATCCTGAAGATGACGCTCAACCGAGGTCAACTTCCCCTGGATGTTATCTCTCTCGGAGGCTATCTCGTCCATATACTGCTTGAGTTCGAGAACCTCAATATCGTTTGCTCTGAGCCCCTCCCTCATCAAGGCATCTTTATTCTCAAGCTGCAAAAATCAACCCAAAGGTGTTAAATGCTAAAGTCGGAGAAGCACGAAAATAAAAGCATACGAAGACTATGTTACCTGCTCGGCAAGATTGGTCGGCTCTCGAGACATCATCTCCAAACGAGCCCGAATATTGCTTAGCGAGACCAGTTGGATCGCCAGCCTTGACTTGGGAGCAGTTTATAGTGTTATTCCTGGAGAAGTTTCTCCCCGTTACTTAGAGAGAGGCCTATCGGAGGCAATTTGAGCGCCTCCGACAGGGTTCCATGACTGTTACCCAGTATGAGACCAGGTTCATCGACTTAGCTCGCCATGCTCTCGTCATACTCTCCACCAAGAGAGAGAGAGGGTGAGGAGGTTTATTGACGGTCTTATTCAGCTGATTCGTCTTCAGATGGCTATAGAAGCTGGGAGTGAGATTACTTTTCAGGAGGCATCCAATGTGGCCCGTAGAGTTGAGATGGTTCTGTCACAAGGAGGCGGTCATGGGTCAGACAAGAGGCCTCTTCATTCAGGCCGATTCAAAGGTACCTTATTCGGAGGTCGAGATTCGTATGGTAGAGGCCATCCTTCTAGGACCTTTCAGTCAGCGCTCCAGGTTTCTCACGGTACTCCAGATGGTCGTGGTCCCTAGATGTAGTATCCCGATCAGCAGTCCTATAGTGCACCACTTGATCCTATCAGTGCACCGCCACTTCAGAGTTTTCAGGATGATCATTCAGGTCGTTAGGGCCAGCAGTCTCAGCAGCCGAGGGCTTGTTACACGTGTGGTGATCCGGGTCATATTTCCAGGTTTTGCCCTCGAGCATCGAGTAGCTCTCAGCATCAG